AGCGAAAGCAGTCCTGAAAGGGAAGTTCATAGCACTACAGGCCTACCTCAAGAAGCAAGAAAAATTTCTAATTAACTTTCTAACCCTACAACTTAAAGAACTAGCAAGTAAACAAACAAACAAACAAAAATCCAGAGTTAGTAGGAGGAAGGAAATAGTAAAGGTCAGAGCAGAAATAAATGACATAGAGACTAAAAAAAACAATTTAAAGATCAATGAAACAAAAAGCTGGTTCTTTGAAAAGATAAACAAAATCGATGGATCTTTAGCCAGACTCACCAAAAAAATAAAAAGAGAGAAACCAAATAAACAAAATCAGAAATGAAAGAGGAGAAGTAACAACTGACACCAAAGAAATACAAAGAATCATTGAAACATACTATGAACACTTATACGCCAATAAATTGGACAGTCTAGGAGAAATGGACAAATTTCTGGAAACACACAACCTCCCAAAACTGAACAGGAAGAGATAGAAAACTGGAACAGACCAATAACAATAAAGGAAATTGAAGATGTAATCAAGAAACTCCCAACAAACAAAAACCCAGGCCCAGATGGCTTCACAGGGGAGTATGAGTGAACATTCAAAGAAGATTTAATACCCATTCTCCTCAAACTATTCCAAAAAATCCAAGAAGACAGAACACTTCTGAACTCATTTTATGAGGCCAGAATAATCCTAATTCCAAAACCAGATAAAGACACCATAAAGAAAGAAAACTAAAGGCCAATATCCCTGATGAACACAGATGCCAAAATTCTTAACAAAATATTAACAAATAGAATCCAGCAATACATCAAAAAATTACTTATTGTGACCAAGTGGGTTTCATCCCAGGCATGCGAGGATGGCACAATATTTGCAAATCAATAAACGTGATCCACCACATAAACAAAAGAAAAGGTAAAAACCATATGATCATATCAATAGATGCTGAAAAAGCATTCAACAAAATCCAGCACCCATTTTTGATAAAAATGCTCAGCAATGTGTGAATGGACAGATTATATATCAACATAATAAAGGCCATATATGAAAAACCTACAGCCGACATTATACTCAATGGGCAAAAATTAAAAGCATTCCCCTTAAGAACGGAAACAAGATAGGGATGCCCACTTGCACCACTCTTATTTAACATAGTGGAAGTCTTAGCCACAGCAATTAGACATTAAGAAACAATATAGGGAATCCAAATTGGAAAGGAGGAAGTGAAACTGTGATTATTTGCAGATGACATAATATTGTACATAGAAAACCCTACAGACTCCATCATAAATCTACTAAACTTAATAAGTGAATTTGGCAAAGTAGCAGGATACAAAATTAACATCAAGAAATTGACATCATTCTTATACACCAATGATGAAATTTCAGAATGAGAAACTAAAAAAAAGATCCCATTTACCATTGCAGCAAAAAAATTAAGATACCTAGGATTAAACTTAACCAAAGAAATAAAGGACCTACTCACAAAAAACTACAAGTCATTGAAAAAAGAAATAGAGGAAGATATAAAAAAGTGGAAGCACACACCGTGTTCATGGATTGGATGAATTAACATCATTAAAATGTCCATACTACCCAAAGTAATGTATAGATTCAATGCAGTCCCCATCAAAATACCAACAACATATTTCAGAGAACTAGAACAAACACTCCAAAAGTTTATATGGAATCAAATAAGACCCTGAATAGCAACAAAATCTTGAAAAAGAATAAAAAAGTTGAAGGGATCACATTATCAAATTTTAGGTTATACTACAAAGCCACTGTAATCAAAACAGCCTGGTACTGGCACAAGAACAGGCAGATAGATCAATGAAACAGAATAGAGAACCCAGAAATTGACCCCAGACAATATGTTCGGTAATATTTGACAAAGGTGGCAAGAACATACAGTGGAGTCAAGACAGTCTCTTCAATAAATTGTATTGGGAAAATTGGACAGCAACATGCAAAAAAATGAAACTAGACCATCAACTTACACCATACACAAGAATAAACTCAAAATGGATAAAAGACTTAAATGTAACTCTTGAATCCATAAAAATCCTAGAAGAAAATGTAGGCAACAAAATTTCAGACATCATACGCAGCAGAATTTTCACTGATACACCTAAGGCAACAGAAACAAAGGAAAAAATAAACACATGGGACTACATCAAACTAAAAAGCTTCTGCACAGCAGAAGAAACAACCATCAAAATAGAAAGGGATCCCACTATATGGGACAGAATAATCACCAATGATGCATCAGATAAGGGGTTAATTTCCAAAATATATAGAGTACTCATACAACTCAACAAAAGGAAGACAAAGAACCCAATTAAAAAATGAGCAGAGGACCCAAAGACACCTCTCCAAAAAGGACATACAAATGGCCAAGAGACATATGAATAAATGCTCAACATCACTAATCATCAGAGAGATGCAAATTAAAACAACTATGAGGTATCACCTCACATCTGATAGAATGGCCACCATCAACAAATCATCAAACAACAAGTGTTTTGAGGCTGTGTAGAAAAGGGAACTCTAGTACACTGCTGGTAGGAATGCAGACTGGTGCAGCCACTGTGCATAGTGGAAAACACTATGGTATTACCTCAAAAATTTAAAAATTGAGCTTCCATTTGACCCAGTGATCCCACTTCTAGAAATATACCCTAAAAAACCTGAAGCACCAAACAGAAAGAATATATGTACCCCTATGTTCATAGCAGCACTATTTACAATAGCTAAGATAAGCAAACAACCCAAGTGTTCATCAGTAGATGAGTAGATTAAAAAGCTGTGGTACGTGTGCACAATGGAATACTATGCATCTGTAAGGAAGATCTCTTATCCTTTGAGATGACATGGAAGGACCTGGAGAGTACTATGCTAAGTGAAACAAGCAAAGCAGAGACAGAGAAATATCACATGATCTCACTTATTTGTGGAATATAATGAACTAAACAAACTGCTGAACAAAATTAACCTAGAGACATGGAGGTGGGATACAGGCTGACAAGCCTCAGAAGAGGGCAGGGTTTGTAGGGGAAGAGATAAACCACGGAACTTACATGCATGTATGTATGACCAATGAACATAGACAACAAAGCTGAGAATAAGGTGGGGGGAAGGGGAGGAGGGTGTCAATGGGGAGAAAATGAGAAACATCTGTAACAAAAATAAATAAATAAATACGTACATACATAAATAGTGCTTGGAAAATTGGACAGCTATATGCAAAAGAATGAAACTAGACCACCAAATTACACTATACACAAGAACAAACTCAATCTCAAAATGAATAAAATACTTCAGTGTAACCCACGAAACCATAAAAATCCTAGAAGAAAATGTAGGCAAAAAAATCTCAGACATCATAGGTAGTGGAATATTCACTGATACATCACTTAGGGCAAGAAAAACAAAGGAAAAAATAATAAGTCGGACTACATCAAACTTACAAGTGTCTGTATGGCAAATGAAACCAGCATCAAAATGAAAAGGGAACCCACTCTCTGGGAGAACATATTTGCCAACAATGCATCAGAAAAGGAGTTAATATCCAAAAATATATAGAGTACTCATACAACTCAACAAAAGGAAGACAAACAAGCCAATTAAAAAATGGGCAGAGGACCCGAATAGACACTTCTCCAAACAGGACATACAAAAGGCCAGGAGACATATGAAAAAATGTTCAATGGTCCTAATCATCAGAGAGATGCAAATTAAAATGACTATGAGATATCACTTCACACCTGCCAGAATGACAGCCATCAACAAATCCTCACACAGCAAATGCTGGTGAGGATGTGGAGAAAAGGTTACCCTAGTTCACTGCTGGTGGGAATGCAGACTGGTGCAGCCACTATGGAAAACAACCTGGCGTTTCCTCAGAAAATTAAAAATGAAACTCCATTTGACCCAGTGATCCCACTTCTTGGAATATATCCTAAGAAGCCTGAAAGACCAATCAGGAAGAATATATGCACCCCTATGTTCATAGCAGCACTATTTGCAATAGCTAAGATCTGAAAACAGCCCAATTGCCCATCAGTAGATCAGTGGGTAAAAAAGCTGAGGTACAGTTATACAATGGAGTACTATGCAGTTGTAAGAAAGAGAGATCTCTTACCCTTTGAGACTACATGAAGAAACCTGGAGAGTATTATGCTAAGTGAAATAAGCCAGTCAGAGAAAGACAGATATCACATGATTTCACTTATTTGTGGAACATAATGAACAAAATAAGCTGTCAAACAAAAGAGATACAGAATCATGGAAGTAGGGAACCGACTGACAAACCTTATAGGGATTGGGGGTGGGAGGGGTGGGAAGAGATAAACCAACTAACTTATGTGCATATATGCACAACCAATCCACATGGACGCTAGGCTGGGGAAGGCAGGAGGGGGATGGGAACAGGAAGGAGGGGGGTCAATGGGGAAATAGGGGGACATCTGTAAGGCTTTCAACAACAAAAAATTAATTAATTTAAAAAATAAAAATAATAAAATTTTATTTTAACCTGAGAAAATAAAATAAACTCTCCTGAAATAATTTATGTTTTAAAATAATGTGTTTGTATTTTTTGATATATATGTTTTTTAATTTTTGTTTGTTTGCCTTTATTTTATGCAGGTGTAAAAATGATAGTTTTCGGGTCCTGGGAACATGGTCAAAAAATCCAGTTGATGTCATTCTGAAAGTGAATTTGTGCTTTGGTTGACGCAGCTCTTACATAGCTAATTTATTCCTGAATAACATTTTACTTTTGATGACCTGATGGTCAAAGTGGTAATCTGACAGCCAACTTCAAAATTACAAGAATAAAAGAATGTGTTTATGCCATTTATTAACTTTTCAGAGAGAAAAATACATCAAATGAGTTTCTGGTCAGCAAATAAAGTAATTTAAACTTTTTGTGAGATGATGAGGTATTTGCTCACCTGGGGTTGTTCTTTAAAATACCTTTTGAGGGGCTAGAGTTACAGGTTTTCTAGTAAGGGGTTTCTCTCTTGTCATGGGCCTGAGCCTCTTCTTCAATTTCTTCTCTACCAGCATCAAAATCTTCACGACACTCATACTGTCTGCCCTCTCTAAAGCCCATATCCCAATCTGTGTGGATGATATGGTCATCTAAGACGGTCCCATTTAGGAACCGCATGGCATTTTCAGCATCAGCTCTGTAGTAGTATTCTACAAAACAGAAACCACATGCTGTTTTCTTTAATTTATCTAAGCCCATAAATACATTCCTGACATCACCACATCTACTAAAGAGCTCAAATAGTTGCTCCTCGGTTGTATAAATGGAAAGATTCCCCACATACAGCGTGCAGCTTTTCTTCAGTAAATTTTCATGCTCTTTGTTATCCCCACTGAAATGCTGGCCCCCGTCTTTGCTCAGCTCCAGGTAGGAGTCCCTGCACAGAATCTTCAGGTCCTTGGACATGGTGTTCAGTGACTCTGTGAGGGTAGCAGGTTGTGATGCAGCTTGGCAGCAGTGACACCAACAAAACCCTAAATTTAAAAAAATAAAATAAAAGTAAAGTTACAAGGAGGGAAGAAGAAATACAGACCCATGGATACTTAAGAGATTTGTGCCAAGATGCATAGACACCTCAGCTCTTGACCAGGAGGATCATGTCAAGGCAAACCCCAAATGGAAAGTTCCAGGTCCCAAGAACATGGTCATAAAATCTAACTTTGCCAAATTTTCCCAAAAGGGAAGTGATGCTGTCTTTGGTTGACTAAAATCTTACATACCTAATCTATTACCAAAGAATATATTTAATAATAGTATGCTGTTGGAAAATATAGCATAAAATAGTAAAAATTGATCAAATTTTCATGGATAATAAGAATTATTATCATTTCTGATCAAGGACTAGACATCAGATAAGTCACATATATAAGCAGGGTTAAAATGCAAATACAGTTGCAATATACTCTCTCATAAATTAAAATAATAAATTTGTGATTCAAGTGTATACTATGAAAATCATATTATATATATATATATATATATATATATATATATATATATATATGTACTATCCAGTATACAAATAGCTCTATAAAAATTGAAAGTCTCTGGCATCGTAAAATTGACCTAAATTAAGATTAGATTTTATTTGCAATAATTCCACTTGTCTTATTAGACTTTAGAATAACTGTTATTTAATTATTTGAGTATTCCAAGCCTGTTTTTAAAAAACTTTCCCAGAGAATTTTAACTAATGCCCTTTTCTGTCTTTACTAAATTTTCCTACTGTGGTCAGAGGCATTAAAAATGATTCAATTGGCTTTAGCTACACTTTTCAACAATTGGCATTAGTAACACCCCCACACACACACATCTCTCCTATTTTGTAATGATTGGCAAAATTTAGTGTGAAAGAAAAACCTACAGAACTAGAAAAAAATGTAGATTCTTGCAGACCACCCTTAAGAGATTTTGACTCAGTCCAGTTGGTGTGGCTCAGTGGTTGAGTGTTGACCCATGCACCAAGAGGTCGTCAATTCGATTCCTGGTCGGGACACATGCCCAGGTTGTGGGCCCAGTCCCCAGTGGGGGGCATGCAGGAGGCAGCCAATCGATGTTCTCTCTCATCAATGTTTCTATCTCTCTCTAAAATCAATAAAGAAAAAAAGAGAGAGAGATTCTGACTCAGTAGATCTAGAGCAAGACTCAAGAACTTACATTTAAAATTTAACCTGCACCCCTCAGTGATCCAGATGCAAGTTGTCCAAAGACTACATTTGGAGACTTCTCTTAACAAACATTTAATGAGCACTTTTTATTTGCCAGGTACTATACTAGGTGCTATGAATATGTCAATGAAAAAGACACAATGAAAGTAAAATTTTCAGAAATCATTGTATCCCCAGACTTCGTATTAACAATTACTTGTGCATATATTAAACATCCAATAAATACCTGCTAAATGAATAAATACATCAGTTCAGAATTGGTGATGAAGTCAGACAAGCAAACAAAAGACACAATATGGTGTGATCAATACTATTTTAGAAATATACATGGAGGAAAGGAAGAAGGGAACTAACATTTTCTGGGAATCTACTTCATGATGGACACTGTGTGCAGTTTTTACTACATCCTACAGGAGGAGAAGCAATTACTCAGCTTGGGGACATCAGAGAAGACTTCCAGAGGAGGGGCTGCAAACTGTGTGTGTGTGTGTGTGTGTGTGTGTGTGTGTGTGTGTGTGTGTGTGTGTCTGTGTCTGTGTGTCTGTGTGTGTTGGGGGAAGATGTAGAAGTTCAGGGGATGAACCAGACAGAGAAAACATGTGCAGGGGCAGAATGTAGTCAAAGAAAAATAAAAGCATCGAAAACTGAAATGGAAGCCTGAATAAAACCAGGTACAAACAACAGTGTTGTACAATTTATAGCAATGAAAATGGGGGCCCTTGCCCATTTAGATGTCATTTGAAGAGCAGTGGGAAGCCCAGTGCCTCAAAATCATCTTCTTGGCAGCCTGTCAATGATGTCTGAAAGTCTGCCACTGAAAACTCATTACTTTGAATCATTGACAAATTGCTCCATTAAAAAATAAATATCCCTCCCAGACTTCATTTCCTTTTTTAAAAAATCTAGTTACTAGATTGGCAGATCAGAGAATGTGATAGTTATAGAGGACTTCATTTCATCCAGGCATTGGACAAAGTTCCCCATAATTTCCTTGTAGAAGAGATGACAAAATATAGGCTGGATGCTTCAGCTGTTTGTTGAGATGAGTTTGTAACTAACTAGTTGAATAAACAAATGGTATGGTGTCAGACTAGAAGGAACATTCTAGCAGTGAGCCAAAAGGTTCTATTCTTAGCTGTGTCTTGTTCGGCTCCTTTATAATTTAGCTTACTACAAACAAGAGCTTTTAAACTGGTCACTGCAGTCCAAAACTGAAAGGGCTGCCTCAAAGTACAATGGGCACTAGACACTAAGGGGTTCAAGCCAACCCTGGAGTATCCCTTGCCTGGTAGTCAAACAATGGAGAGGCCCTTTTTAATCAGTATATGTAGTGTTAGGAATCAATCATGAATTATGACGTCAGAAACCTCAGTTCAAATCTCAGCTTTAACACTCACTTGCAATGAGACCCCGGGCAAAGTGCTTAACTATACTGATTTCAATGCCTATTCCAAGTCTGATTTTGAAAGTTGAATAAGGATTTGGTTGGAAGACAAGGGGTCACTCTAGGCAGAGAGGACATTGTGTACAAAGGAATGATGGGGTGTGTTCAGTTTGATAATGTTTAGACAAGAGGATGAGGAAAAGATAATAGGAGATAAGACTGGAAAGGTAAATAGGGCCAGGTTATGAAAGCCCTTGTAAAGCATGTGGAGCAGCTTGGACTCTACCAGTCAGCAGCGGGGAGATAGGGCTTGAAGCATAAGAGTGATGTGATCTGATTTGCATCACAGAAAAATTCTAGCATGAATGCGGAGAACAGATAAAAGCGGAGTAGGCCTAGAGGCAGAGAGACCACTTGAGAAGCTATTTAAGTAGTGAAAAAAAAATAATGAAGAGTCTGGACAAATGTATCATAGTAACATAAAGAAAAAACATATCAGATTGATATTAAGAAGACAGACTTAACAGGTTTGGGTGACTGGGTGAACAACGAGTCTAGGATGACTCCCAAGTTTCAGGCCTGGGCAACTGTGTGGATAGAGGTCTGAGTCACCAAAATGGAGATTTTGAGGTGGATAGAGGAGGAGTGGCAGATTTGAATAACATAGGTGTATTTATGATGTACTGAGATTGTTTTTGAAGTACCTGTGAGACATACCACCTCCCACATGTTTAGTTGCAATTGAGTTTCAGGTTTGGAGCTCACAGGAGAGGTCTGAGGATATAGATATAGATTAGGGAATCAACAGCACAGTAGATAAAACCATGTAAATCAATAAGATGATTTAGGAGAAACACATAGAATAAGAAAAATCCTGGGAAAGACCAGCATTTAAGGAGTGTCAGAGGAAAATCCACAAAGGAATATAATAAAGAGTAACCAGAGAGGGAGGAGGAGAATCAGAAGAGAAGCAGCATCCCCAAAGCCAAGGAGTAGGCACTTTCAAGAGAGGAATGAAAGCAGAAGTAGAGTAACAATAATCAATTATGTTAAATGCAGTAGAGAACGGTCCAGTAAAATAAAGACTTAAATTTGTTAGTTGGATTGGCAGTCAGGATGTCATTGGCTTCCTTAACAAGAGCAGTAACAGTGGTGTTCTGGGGTCAGAAAAGCCAGACTGGGGGTAGGGCGAGGCTTAGTTTTGAATGGTGGGGGGGGGATGAGGAAATGGAGACAGTGACTATAAATTACTCTTTTGAAGAACTTTCTTGATAATAGAAGAAAACAAATAAGGTAAGCAGCAGTTGGGGACAGAGTCAGGAGAGTTCTGTTCATTTCTTTTTTTTTTTTAATGGGACAAAGTTGAGCATATTAAATGAGAGTGGTTGAAGATACAGATAAGAGAGGGAATAACCAATGAAGAAATGTCCTCAAGGTGGTGGGATACAATGGGTTCTAAAGCTTAACTACATGAATTAACCTTGAACAGGAGAAGTTGTGCTTACTTGTGCAAGATCATTAAAGTGTGTTTTCCTCTCAAAAAAAAGGGGGGGGAGGTTAGGGCATGTAGGGACTCAGCTCTATGTCAGGGTGGGGTGAGGGCAGGAAAATGAAAGTTAGCATCTGATGGCCTAGATTTGCATAATGAAATAAGAGGTGAGATCATCTGCTGAGAATAAAGTGGATTATGGGAATAGATTGGTGAAGTGGAGTGGAGGTGAAAATGACTAAAAAGATGAAGCTTGTAAATGGGTCATTTACAAAGACATTAAAGTCACTCAGGATGGTTGACAGAGTTGGGGAGACTATAAGTGAGGTGCTGAGGTCTATAAGTGAGGTGCTGAGGTCCTCAATAAATGAGAGACCTGGAGGGCAGTAGATAACAGTAGGAAGTAATGGAAGACGGCAGCTGTATCATCTCCTGGTCCCATGGGGTAAAAGAGAACAGAGAACCTCTACCATTAAACCTTTGGAGAGGTTGCTTAGTAGATATTAGGTATCCGACCCAAAGTACATTCCGGATGAATGTGAATAAGTGACTTACTCTTTAAGACAACATGATCATACAGTTGCATTAGAAGATCCTGGGAAGGAACAGTCTTAATGGACTAAGCATTGGTCAAACCACATATGGAGCAGTATGCCCATTTCTAAGGACCTATTTTTAAAGTGAACATTTACAAGCTATAGTGCATCTAGATAAGGGTCAAGAGATTACCAAGTACTGATTAGGAACTGGACATGTTTGGTCTAACAAAGAGATGGTTAAAGGAGGATATGACAGCTGTCGTGAAACATCTGAAGGGTTATTTCTACTCCATTTGGTAAAAATTAGATTAATGGATAGAAGTTAC